AAAAAAGTCAGTAAGGCAATTTTTTCTTGTAACAGATAATATTCTACAACTTTGTATCTCAAACAGCAGAAAATGCAGGAGATGCCAAAAAATAATAAATAGCACAATGAAGATCATAAAAGATTGCACAACAAGTTTGCAGCATTAGACAAGATAAGACATGGCAGAAAATGAATTACCTTGTTGAGGTCCTTTCTCCAAATAGCCACAATCTCGGAAACCTTGCTTGGAAGATATGATCGTGCCATTAAAGCAGCCTCAGGTATCCGATTGCTGCAAAAGGGAAGCTTCAATATATATGCGCTATAATCACCTGAATTAGCATTCTTTTGTGTCAAGTGATCGAAATGGAGTTACCTTTCAACTAACAACTGAAGACAATCTTCCAATTTACCCAGCATGAATAAGCAAAGGAAAGCGACATTGTTCTTTCCTTGCTCTTTAGCAAGAGATGCAAGTTTTGATATCCCTTCAGCGTCTCCTAAAGAAGAATATAGCAACAACAGACCACTCAAATCCATTGCATGCTTCATGCATTCCTCAGCCATTTCCAACTGCAGTAACAAAATTCATGGTAAGTACAAAAGATTCAGAGTAAAAGAAAAGATTCAGTTGAATGAGAAAGTCATCAGAGTAAGAAAGTAACAATTTGCTTTATCATCCATTTGCCTGTTTCAACAATTATTTCACATTTGTTGGATAGCAACACATTTGGATGAGATTGGAAGGAAGAATACCTTTCCAGTGGACATAGCCAATTCTCCCAACTGCTTCCATTTAGATTCGCTCTGCACTTCCAAAGCAATTTCCTGCCAACAAGGGAAACTTGTTATATCCAAAATTCGGCCAGACAGGGAAATGCAAAATGCTGAAAAGATCAAGAAGTCTCATAGACATTCTAGCCAATGTAATACTCATAGGACTCACCTTTGCAACCTCTAATCTGCCCAATTGTACGGCAAGGTCAAATCTGTAATCAGGGTCTGTAGCAACTTCTAAAGCATCTTCTATCATACCTCGTGATTCCAGAAAACGTGCCACACTAGCAGTTAAGAATATCTTTAGAAATTCAATAACCTCCTCAATGCAAATAGTTTCCATGTCAAATACTAATAGATCTTTTTACTATAAGTTTCATTCACAAGGGAGCAAGGGGTGCCTCCACGTAAAAAGGAGAATATATTTTAGGTGAGTCAAAAAATCTATCAGCTACATAAATACTGGTCACTGGGATAGATCAACCATACATGACAGTATGCCATCATAAAAAAGAAAAAAAAAATTAGTCTTTCTAAAGAGCCAAAAACATATATCATTACTATCATATTTTCAGGAAATGCATAAAACATCAACAGTATTCTCAATCTAAATGAAAGCCATGTTGTCAATCAAAAGCACAAAGATATTAAGAAAAAAAAATCTTTAAACACCAAAAAAAAACACTTGAAAGCTATAATATGAACCTTGCAATGATTCAGGTAAAAAAAGATAATTTTAAGAAATGCTATGATGCCCTTAAGGTATAAGCACATGGACAACCTAATGGAAACAGACCCAGTGCATTCTTCAGAAAAATAAGACAATTTACCAATTGTAAACTAGCACGTATACCTATTATGATGCTCTTTGGGAATTGAAGGTAAAACTTCACTAGCTCTTTCCAAGTCTCCACGCATCACAAGAGTCTTGTACTCATCAAGCTAGAGTAATGTTGTATCCCATAACACTGCATGATGTAGAAAGGA